TACGTCCACACACAGCCGCGAAAACTACATACGTGCACACACAGGCGTAGCAACCACATACGTCCACACACAGGCGTAGCAACCACATTCGTCCACACAAAGGCGTAGCAACGACATACGTCCACACACAGGCGTAGCAACCACATACGTCCACACACAAGCGTAGCAACCACATACGTCCACACACAGACGTAGCAACCACATAAGTCCACACACATACGTGACAATCACATACGTGCACACACAGGCGTAGCAGCCACATACGTCCACACACAGACGTGACAATCACATACGTGCACACACAGGCGTGACAACCATATACGTGCACACACAGGCATAGCAACCAGATACGTCCACACACAGGCGTAGCAACCAAATACGTGCAAACACAGGCGTAGCAGCCACATACGTCCACACACAGGCGTAGTAACAACATACGTCCACGCACAGGCGTAGCAACTACATACGTCCACACACAGGTGTAGCAACCACATACGTCCACACACAAGCATAGTAACTACATACGTCCACACACAGGCGTATAAACCACATGCGTCCACACACAGGCATAGCAACCACATACGTACACACACAAGCATAGTAACTACATACGTCCACACACAGGCGTATAAACCACATGCGTCCACACACAGGCATAGCAACCACATACGTCCACACACAGGCGTAGCAACCACATACGTGCACACACAGGCGTAGCAACCACATCCGTGCACGCACAGGCGTAGCAACCACATACGTCCACACACAGGCGTAACAACCACATACGTTAACACACAGGCGTAGCAACCACATAAGTGCACGAACAGGAATAGCAACCATATGCGTCCACACATAGACGTGACAATCACATACGTGCACACAAAGGCGTATCAACCACATACGTCCACAAACAGGCGTTGCAACCACATAAGTGCACACAAAGGGGTAGCAACCACATACGTCCACACACAGCTGAAGCAACCACACACATCCACACACAGGTCTAGCAGCCACACACATCCACGCATAGGCGTAGCAACCACATGCGTTTACGCACAGGCGTAGCAACTACATACGACCACACACAGACGCGAAACTACATACGTGCACACACAGGCGTAGCAGCCACATACGTCCACACACAGGCGTAGCAACAACATACGGTCCACACACAGGCGTAGCAACCACATGCGTCCACACACAGGCATAGCAACCACATACGTCCACACACAGGCGTGACAACCATATACGTGCACACACAGGCGTAGCAGCCACATACGTCCACACACAGGCGTAGCAACAACATATGTCCACACACAGGCGTGGCAACTACATACGTCCACACACAGGTGTAGGAACCACATACGTGCACGCACAGGCGTAGCATCCACATACGTCCACACACAGGCGTGACAACTACATACGTGCCCACACAGGCGAAGCAACCACATACGTCCACACACCGGCGTAGCAACTACATACGTCCACACACAGGTGTAGCAACCACATACGTCCACACACAGGCGCAGCAACCACATACGTGCACATACAGGCGTAGCTGTATCCGCGTAACCATCACGTAATCAAGCTGAGTAGAGCACAACGAAGGCACCATAGCACACATACACACCACTCTCACGAGGCCAACGAATGTACGAATGTATGTTAATACAACCACAACACACACACACACACACACATATCACGAAGATAGTAGAGGTGTTGGGGCAAAAAGAATTTCGTAGGAGTCAACAGACAAAGCTCTCACCCAGCGTACCAGACACAGAACTAGCCCATGCGCACCTACCATGTGCATTTCAGGGTTATAGGGTTTCGGGTTCAAGACATACTGTTTGTTGACTGCGCGTCCTTCTCAGGCGAGAATGCCTCCAGAATGACCTTCTCCATCAATGCACACACCCACTGTACACTGATTATGAAGTAGCGATAGTCTTCATCGTCGTCAGTGGACTGCAGCGCCAGGAAAGAAGTTCGGTACTCAATAGCTGCATCCAACAGCTGAAACTTCACCGCCGTGGTGTCCAACCGCGCCTCAGCCAGAAGATACTGAGCCTCTCCTGCAGGTTGGAAAATGTTTAGTGGCTAATGTGCATATATTGCTATATGTCTTATCATATGGTAC